AATTTCTTTTTTTATTGACATATTATGATATTGTTATATTGTTATATTGTTATGACTTAGCAAATAGCTTCACATTTACTTATGAACAGATCTGTATAATTACTATGAACTAGTACGCGTAATAATTAGTGATAAAAATTTTGTAAACTATTTTTATTGTCATGAGCTAACTAGGAAATAGTTGCAAAATAATGTGGAACCGTCGCACTTCAAAAGACACTCACTAGAAACTAATAATATTAGATTCCTCTCCTTCTAAAGTTAGGCTCATATGACAAACTATTACCGCTCAATTAAAACATACCCAATAGACTTTAAAGTCCCTTTATCAGATTCCAATCGTGGTTATAGGATTTTTCAATTATCAAATGGAATTTTAACCTTCCTCATATCGGATCCAGGTAATGAAATAGGTTCTGCAAGTTTATGTGTTGCTGCCGGCTCTCACAATGACCCTGAGTATATCCCAGGTCTAGCACACTTATGTGAGCATGCTTTAATGATGGGAACAAAGGAATTTCCTAAATCATATTCCTATCATGAGACTGTGCTAGCTTATGGAGGGCAAACAAATGCCTTTACTAGTGGAGAGAAAACCTGCTTTCATTTTGAAGTGCCCGTTATTAATGGAAATACAGGAAACATAAATCCAACAGAATCAGAGAATAATAATGAATCTGTTTTTGATTATATTTTGAGAAATTTTGCCAGCTTCTTTAAATGCCCTTTGTTTCGGGCTAGGGACATATTTAATGAAATCTTGTCAGTCAACGATGAATATATTTGCAACCAAGATTCACCAGAGAAGATTTTTTTCAATTCTTTGAAGTACTTATCAAACGAGGATCATCCATTCAGTCGTTTCGCAACAGGCAATATACAAACACTACAAAGCACTCCCAAATCTTTAAAGCTAAATTTGTCTTCAGAATTATTCAAGTTTTTTCATTCCTTTTACATACCTGAGAATATGACTCTCGTTATAAGTGGTCCACAATCTTTAAATCATTTACAAAGGCTAACTCTAATGAATTTTTCAAATATTCATAAGAAATCAAGTAAAACTGATAATTATTCTGAAACAGAAGTGTTAAAACACCATTTATCAGAATTCTCAATCCTATCTCAATCCTGGAAAAACATTTATTCAGAGCCTGTCTTTAAACAGTGTAATTTAAACAAGTGTCTATTCATTAAAAGTAAAAGTCATTCGCGTCTACGTATAATATTTCCTATGAAGCCAACTAAATTTCGGAAAGAATATGAACTATATCAAAACGTATGGATAAATATATTGGGAGATGAATCCTTAGGATCTTTATGTGCTTATTTAATTGAATCAGAAGACCTTGCAATTTCTCTTTGTCTGTTTCGTCAATCATTAACGTTTCAAGACGATGTGTTAATATTGGATCTAGTATTAACAAATAAGGGGAGAAATAATATTCAAAAGATATTGTTGTCAGTATTCCAATATATCAACCAAATAATAGTCAAATGTTCTTATGATATCATGGGTAAGTACTTATCTGATATGGCCTCAATTGAAACGTTGAATTTCATCTATAGAGAATCCAATTTTTGTCCTATGGAGGAGACTGCAGCTTTAGCCGAGATTTTGCAGCAAGACATAAGCGTCATCAGTCCTGAGAATATATTGAAAGGCTGTAATGATTGGATAGATGAGGAGTTAGATTACAGTGGTGACTACAAAGTAGACCCCGGTTGGTGGCGCTTGATGGCTGCAAAATTCATTGCAGCAACTACGAAAGTTCTTAACACTGCAAATTGTAATATCTTGATACTTGATTCCAATCCACTATTAATGAAGAATATTATCGACTATTCTAAAAGTTCAAATAACATTAGTGCTAAAGACCAATATAACAATCTTGAATATACTATTCGTGATATAGATTTTTCTCGCATAAACTTGAAATTCCCAGAATATTGTTCTCATTTTTCGTTTCCAAGGCCTAATATTTATTTAGCTTATAAGCAAAAAGACCTTAACTCTATCGTGGAAAATATCTCACTTAAAGCTTCTAATATATCTTGGGGCTTTCAAGCTTATAGAGTTTCTGAAGCAGAACCAAAGCTTATTGACTCTTCTCAGTTACATGAAGTTTGGCATATGTATGAAAAATCCACGTCAAAGATAATGGCTTCTTGTCAGCTACAAAGTGTATGCTTAGAATCATCGCCAAATGTAACTATTGGAATAGAAATATTAATAGAGGTAATTGGGAATAAGTTGCGCCATGAATTATACCCTGGCGAATTAGTAGGTTATTCTTGGGGTTTATTTCCTGGTCTGAACTGCTTACCAGCAATTACCCTAACAATTTCTGGCTTCCAAGATAAGTTTAACATGTTTTTATTTTTTATAATAGAGAAAATCCAGGAAGTTACCTCAAATATTAAAGATATATCTTATAAAGATTTTATCAAAGCCCAGGAGTCTGTCAAAATACATTACGAAAACGTCTTAAAATCCGAAGGAGTTGAAAAAGCTATTGCCGGCTCAGTAGTTTTTCTTGAAGAGGGAATATGGTCCCTAAAGGAACGTCTACACGCTTTAGAACAAATGGACATTCTGATTTTAGAAGAAATCAGTCTAAACCTTTTACACAAGATGCATCATTTAAGCATTTTTATTCAAGGTAGTATTGGAATGGATGAGTCCTTTAAGGTCTCCAGAATACTTCAATCGCTAGGAAGATACGAAAATAACCACAATAATTTTCAAATTTCTAAACCATCTAGTTACTTATTGCAAAACGGTAAAAATTACGTATATGAAGATAAAGATACAACCAATGGTTCAACAAATACAATATTCTACTACATTCAAATAGGAAGTAGGGAAGATGTATTTAATAGAACAATTGCGAAATTTTCTGCGCACTTATTATCAATTTTTGCAGCAGCTGAGTTGAGAACAAAACGAAAATTAGGGTACTTTGTATCTAGTGGTTGTAAGTTATTCAGAACCACAACTGGTATTTTCATAACGGTCTCTAGTGGAATTTATGACCCCCACTATTTGAACTCACAAATTGAAAATTTCTTATATGATTTGGAGTTGTTACTATTTGAATATTCTGAGGAGAATTTCGATGATAATTTCAAGAAAACATTTTCCAAAAGCTACTTAAAGCAAAATATTCAAAAAGAAAAGTCAATTTTAGGTAGTAGGTTATATGGTGTGAATCCTGTAAAAAGCAGTAGTATTTTCCCTAAGGGAAAAATGTACTACATGCACATCAATTATTTCGATAAGATTGTTAACAAAACTTATTATTTCGGAGGGATGAAGGGAGATAATGAAGTCGACATTCTGATAATAGACAACTTGACAAAAGCTGAATTCCTTGAAATCTTCGGGTCAAGAATTTCTATAAAATCCAAAAGAAAATCTTCTCTTTCATTACAATTATTCAGCCAAAGAGATGTCAAATCGAAGTCTCTTAAAACCCAGATACTAGAGATATTAACAGAAGAAGGAATTTCAGTTAGCAGTAATGATTTTGAAGATATATTAGGCAAGTGTAAGAATAATCTTATATTCTCTAAAGGTGGTTCCAATGTGGATCCCAAAATTAAGAATGAGGGAGCAAAATTAATTATGAACAATTTGAAGAAAGCATACAGAGCTAAGCTTGAAAAATTTACGTCAAGTAAAAAACGAAACCATATAACTAAAGCTTTAGGAGAAAATCATAATTCAAATGTGCCTTCCTTAGGACCAACAATATTAACTGATTGGAAGCAGTTACATAAAGAGAGCAAACTTCAAAAATATAATTGATTTATAATTGTTTAATTTGCGATCTGCAAAAAAATTTGGACTCCTC